TGTCTGCCCACGGGCCCCCGCCACACAGGAGCACACTTGTTCCTCGTCCCACTCTGTCGTTACTCTCAAAGAGCTGGCCTCGTGTTCACGTTTCCTCTGCGCTTGCCCGTCGGAGGGTCCAGGTTCCCCCTTCTGTGAGGACAGCAGTCAGGTCGGATGAGGGCCCCTCCAAGGATGTCATGGTGCCTTCGTCATCTGCAGCAAACTTAGTTCAAAATTTGGTCGTAGTCATCGGCATTATCAGGGTTCGTGTTTCAATATCTTTTTTTTTTCTGAAGAGGGAGGTGGAATTTAACACACAATACTATTTTTCAGGGATCTTCCGAAAGCAAGAATGTATAGTTCTTTCGTGGTTCTACCCACCGAACCATCCATCCATCCACCACCCACCCATCCATTCATCCATCCATCATCCATCATCCATCATCCATCCATCCACCCACCCATCCACCTACCCATCCACCCACCCATCATCCATCCACCCACCTACCCATCCATCATCCATCCATCCATCCACCTACCCATCCATTCATTCATCCATGCACCCATCCATCCATCCATCCACCCACCCACCCATCCACCTACCCATCCATCCATCCACCCACCCATCCACCTACCCATCCATCCACCCACCCATCCACCCACCCACCCATCAATCCATCCATCCATCCAACCATCCATCCATCCACCCACCCACCCATCCACCCATCCACCCACCCACCCATCCATCCATCCACCCACCCACCTATCCATCCACCCACCCATCCATCCATCCAACCACCCATCCATCCATCCACCCATCCACCCACCCACCCATCAATCCATCCACCACCCACCCATCCATCCATCATCCATCCATCCACCCACCCACCCACCCATCCATCCACCCACCCATCCATCCATATATTTATCCATTCACCCACTCTCGCCTTCTGACAGGTGTTGGGGTCACACCCTATCCGTGTGTCAGACATGGGCCAGCTCCCGGGTGGTCTACCATGCAGACGACCACGGCGCTGGTGGGGGCATCATCGCCCTACCTGTGCACTTACTCAGACGTTCGCATCACTGGCGTCTACCTCGTGATTTCACCGATGAGACTCTCTCTCTCGCCGCACCGGAGCACACCTCTTCTTTGTCACGCTCTGTGACTGTTCTAAGAGAGCTGGTCTCACTTTCACGTATGCGCCCTGGACGCTGGCCCCCAGCTCAACTCCCCCTTGGTCCCTCCGCGAGAAGCAAGGTTGGCATGAGTGTGGCGAGACAGAAGGAAGGAAGGGAATGACCTGGAGGACTGAACTGTGACTTCTAGGAGTCACTTGTTCCTTTAAGGAACCTCATTCTGCAGCGGCTCCGTACGGCAAACACGAGACGAAGAAGACCTTGGTGAGGCTCAAGGAGACCGTGGCGTCTGGTTCCTGATGTCCGCACAGCCCACACTCCACGCTGGTGCCTGTGCCGGCTTGCATCATTCCAAGTGGACAAGGCACCCTTGTCCTGGGGAAATGCACCCACGGCCCACTCACCCACCCCCAGAGCCAGCCGTCTCTGCACCCCGCAAATTCCACGCAGGACTCGGCCCCTCTGTGCATCTTCAAAGGCCCCCCAAAACCCGTGAAACGGGGGAGTAAATACTTTGCACGGTGTTCTGCGCTGTGGAAACACGGCTGGGCTGTGTTCGTGGCCTCCAGGTGTCCCCTGCACCGGGCACAGAGGGTTTCTGTCGGCGCCCAGCAGCCCCTGAGCCTGCGCATGGTGGCAGACGGAGAAGCAGGAGCAGCGAGAGCAGAGGTGAGAGATCGCGTCACCACGCTGACGGGCTCGAGGCGGCCCGAGGAGCGTGACACGCACGGGGTGGAGGCCGGGCCACCTGGAACGGCGTATTCGTTGTGAACACCTCGAGTCTGCAGTGAGGACAAGAATCACGGGGCGTTTCTGGAAAGAACACAGAACTTCCAAAAAAGAGACTGGAGTTGTGGAGACAGGAAGACCGGGTGAACTCAGGTGTGCACCCCAGGGACCGGACAGCACAGGACTAACGGATCGTCCCAGTAAATCCCTTCTCGGCCCGACGCCATCCACGGTTACCGCAACGTGACTGACGATATCGCCTGTGGTGGGCGCTGCAGCCTGTGCCTGCTCTGTGATTGCCGGTCTGTGCTTCCCACTCCTTCCCCCTTTTCCCCTCGGCCTCCCACCCCCCCTCTCCTCTGGCGACCATCAGTCCGGTCTCTGCGTCTGTCTGTCTGTGTCCATCCTGCTTGCCGGTTCTTACTTGTTGTGTTTTTCAGATGCGATTGTTGATAGATAGGTATTTAGTGCCGTTTAGTTACCCATCATGGCTCATCTTTTTTTCGCCCCTCCTTCTTCTTAAAGAAGACCCTTTCCTACGCTATCAGATGTCAACTATCCTTAAAAATGAAAAAAAAAATCCTGGCTGGCGTAGCTCAGTGGATGGAGCACGGGCTGCGAACCAAAGCATCGCAGGTTCGATTCCCAGTCAGGGCACATGCCTGGGTTGCAGGCCACGGCCCCCAGCAGCCGCACATGGATGTTTCTCTCTCTCTCTCTCTCTCTCTCTCTCCCTTCCCTCTCTTAAATAAATAAATAAATAAAATCTTAAAAAATATTTTTAAAAAATGAAAAAAAAATGGGATTGAAATAAAAAAGACACATGAGGGTGAGTGGTGGACAGCCACTCCCCAGGGCAGCTGAAGTTGAGTCTCTCTTCCTGGGTACCGGCTGGCTCAAGGGTGTGGGCGGGTGCAGGGGGGTGGAAGTCACAGGCGTTTGAGACAGCCCTCTAGAACATTCCATGGAATCACTTTCCCCTTGCCCAAGGTGCCAGTCAAGCTCTCGGGCGGCTCTTCAGCCCGGTGGCCTGGCCAGGTGCACGAAGGAACCGTCTAGAACCTTCCTGCCCACTCCAGTCCCCAGCCCCGGCCAGCAGCACACGCAGCCCCTGACCCCTGTCCACCCTCAGCACCCCGAGAGACGAGGAGGGGCAGCCACGAGGATGTGGGGGGACTCGAACCCGTGCACCCATCGGCCACGTCACAGGGTGCATCACCCACGGGCCGCCGGAGGACTCGGAGCAGAGGTGACTCTGCCCGCACGGCATCCAGCCCGCGGCTCGCGATCTCCGTGTCCCCTGCCCGGGTGACTCACGGGCCGTGTTGCGAAACCCCGGCCTGCGGCTCCACGCGGTGGCGGCAATGATGAGGGGCGTGCACGGGGCGGCACGGGGGGGGGGGTGGCTCTGTGTCATGCCCGTGAGACACGCCGGTGGCCTGTGACATGCATGCCGCGTGCGTGGCCGTGACAGAGCCCGGGGCAGGAGGGGCCTGGGGCCGATACAGAGCATCATTTCCCCAATTTTGCCCCCGTGGATGGGGGGGGCGGGGGCGGGGGCGGGGGGGGAGAGGATGTCAGAACAGAAATAGTGACTGTTCTCGAAAACCACCCTGCTGCAGCCAGGGGGGGCTCTCCCAGGACGCCGAGTTTGCTCTGCACTTTTGGGTCCCCGCAGTGAAACGCGGGGTCTGTTAGCCCACAGTTGGCGCGGACTGGGGGTTCCGGAAGGCGTGGGTCCCCCAACGACCCCTCCTAAGCCCCCCGGGAGAGCCCCCACAAGGGCACCTGCTGGGGATGCATTCACACCCCTCAGTGCGCAGTCCTCTCCGGGACCCACCGGCCTGTTCTCCCTTCCGGCTCCAGACCCTGAAAGGAGCCGTCCCTGCTGGAGGAAGGGGGAGGGCCCCCCGAAAAAAACAGGGGGAGCTTCTCAGCTTTGCCGGGCGGACGGGCGAGGAAGCAGGGGTGTCGCTCCCGTACCCAGTGAGGGTTTCAGCAAATCTGGAGACGCTTGGGGTGCTGCTGGTGTCTGGTGGAGGGGGACCGGGGACCCTTCTGAACGCCCCCTACCCCACCCAGTGCCCAGGACGCCCCACGACACAGCGTCACCAGCCCCAGGCGCGCACAGGACCCAGACGGAGCCCCCGACGTTCCCACGGGGGACTGTGCATCTCTCAGCCCCCACCCACATCACACTCTGGGTCTCTACGTGCTTTCCTTACCACCGGTCACGCTGGGCTGTCCACCTCCCGCCGCCCGTGCGGTGGCAGAATCCTGTCCCCAGAGACGTGCGCGTCCAAACCCTTGGGGCCCATGGAAACGTGACATTCAAGTGTCAGATTGGGTGACAGAGTCAAGTGTCTCGGTGTGACCAGAGGTGCTGAGATCGGGGTGGGGGTCCCTCCTGGATCCTCCCTGTGGATTCTGGGGGCGCATGGACCAGGGCAGGCTGGAGGGCCAGTGTGGGGGACCCAGATGTGACTTGTGGCAGGTATTATTATTATTATTATTATTATTATTCCTCGTCCCACTTTGTCACATTCTGGCAGGAGGCCTGTGTGAGCAGGCTGCCTAGCTCCAACCTAGCGTCACAGGCACCGTTATTAGCGATGCTGGTGTTGGCAGGGTCCGGGCGGTGTCTGAGCACCTGTGCTGGCCGTGCACATACCTGTGGGCCCTCTCATCCCCCCGAGAATTACGTCTGAGGAAGGGATTCTGCGTGTGGAGTCCGAGGGTCCCCAGCCTGCACCCCTCGGCGGGACACGGCTGTTGCATGGTTCGGAGCACATGGGGGTCCGACTGGCCCGATGCCCAGCCCACCTTTGCCGCCTGGACACCTCGGGGACCTAGGGACCTGCAGGACCCCCCGGGGCCCGTCCTGCCACGGCACCCAGCCCCCGCTCAGGACACCCGGTGAAGCCGGAGCCCTGAACGCAGAGCCTCCCACCACCTGGGAGCCGGCAGCCTGAGGCGCAAACCTTATCTCCCTCTTCTTCCTTTTTTATTTTATTTTTTTTTTTTTAGATAAGAGTCATCGGTCTCAATCGAGCATGAGTGTACTTCCTCTCGTCACTTCCCCGCGGGGCCGCTTCTGCCTTTTAAAAGCGCGGTGACCTCGGCGGGGGGAGTGAGTGCGGAACCAAAAATCAGAGGCGGCCGGGGACAGCCTGCTGACGACCTTCCCCCACCCCCCCGCCGACCGTGCCGGGTATGGGTGCCGCCCCGGGGCCCTGGGCGGCCGCCGCCGCTACGGCCGTCTTCCTGCTGGGAGACTTCTACTTCTCCTTCGCTGCGGGGGACACGGCCACAGGTGAGGCTCCGTGGCCCCTGGTGGGGCCACAACAGACTTCAGGTTGATGACCGTTTCGAGGGGGCGGGGAGGAGGGGTCCTCTCTGGCAACCTCTCTCTTTTCTGCGTCCAAGTTACGAGGTCGCCCAGGTTTCTGAGACTCTAGCTCGGGGTAGGGGGGGAAAGGGTGTGTTGTCGACTGGTTTCAGGATGAGCTGTGAGTGGAACGAATGATACTATCGATAATGATGATGATGATGATGATGATGATGATGATGATAACACAGACGTGTGTGCGGAGTTGAACACTGGGGTGACTTTGCTGCTCTCGGTACCTCCAAAGAGCACGATGCTTTTGTGTGGGTGCGTGTGTACCTGCCCGGGGCGAACTCAGGTCAGAAAGGAGACACAGTCCACGCCGGGTCCTTGGACACTGGTGTCCACCGGCTTCGTGGTCACCCTTCAGTCCCCGGGCTGTGCTTTCTGGGCATGACACGAAGACCCCCCGAGATGTCTGTCCCCGGGACATGGCTCCCTGGGAGGTTTTCCAGAACATTCTTGTGGGCTCCTGTTAGAAGCTGTGGGAAAAGGATATAGGAAAAGCGTGGAGGGAGGTACCAGGGCGGGAGCTGGTGGCTTGGGTTTGAGTGGCCGGGTCAGAACTGCCACTGACCAGTGGGGACGGTGGCTGCACGGCCCCCTCGCGCCCCCTGAGACCTGAGGCTGGGCTCCCTGCTTCCAGTGGGATGTCACACCGTTTTTGTTTTTTTTTTGCCTCTGGCCTGGGAGCACCCTCCCCAGCGACCCGTTTTGCTGAAATCCCAGAGTCGTGACTTGGGTGGACAGCGAGGGCACCCAGAGGTGGCCCCCCCCCCAGCACAGCCACTGCCTAAACTCTCGGCGTCTCGGCTCTGGACACCTGTCGGTGTTCCGACGTTCCTTCCAAGCCGGCCGGTGCTGCGTCCGCAAGGACTTCAGCTGTGGTGTGCCTCATGCGTCCCCCGAACCACCCCCCTCCCCCTGCTTGCCCCCCCCCTCGGGCGTGGAGCTTGAATGAGGCACCCGCAGCTCGGGCACCTTGGGGATCCTGACCCAGGGAAGCCCATCCCAGCGCAGAAGCCGGTGTCCTGGATTCTGGGCGGGGCCGGTGCCCAGGCGCGGCACTTCTCAGGAAGCGTGAGTCTGCCTGGGCGGGTGGAGGGTCTTCTGGCTTCCTCGCTTTGCTGCGCCGCCAGGACAGAGCCGCTCCTGCCCTGATGTGGCGTTCCAGATGTGCTCTTGTGGAGGGGGCAGGGTGCCGCGGGTGCACACCCCGAACCCAGGGTGAGCCCAGGCTGCCCGTCACTCATGGGGGAGGGGGGTGCTGGACCACCAGCCACGGCCCAGGGCCCCTCCAGGACAGGGCTGAGGTCCCACAGGTGCACAGGGAGCCCCGCCGAGGCCGCGCCCGGCGTTTCAGGTGCCAGGGCTCCGTCCGGCCTCAGAGAGGATTTCCATCGGAGACAGCTTGTGTCTCTGACGGGTCAGTGGCCTGTGGCGGCTGGCAACACCCTCAGAAAAAGGGGACGCCGGGACCACGCGGAGGTCTGTGGCTCCTCGTCGGGGCAAACGCCCACCCCCAACTGCACAAACCAATGGCGCCTCTCATCCCTGGTCCGCCCACGGCCTGTCCCAATGCTCAGCACTTGCACGAGCTGAAGTCCCGCTTCTTGGGCAAGGGTGGGGGGGATGGAGACAAAGGTGATGACAGGCGGTGAGGCGTGGGGTCCGGGCAGAACTGGGGGCCCCGGAGAGTCACGGGGGCAGAGAGACAGAGGAGAGGCGACAGTGCACCCACCCATGGAACAGGAAGGGCCAGTCCCGTCTGCAGACCCCCCATCATCACCTGCGGGTGCCTCTGTGTCTGCGTGCCAAGCCCACATGCACCAGGACAGGGGGCTAGGGCGGCAGGTATGGGGGGCAGGGAGGGCGAGGGGACCCTCCCAGGTGTGTCTCACGGCCACGATGTTTCCACCGAGCTGCGGAAGGGAAGGTGAGGCTGGCCGGCAGATGGGGAGCGGCCAGGCGGCCACCTACCTGCGTGTGGGGCGGCGGTGGCACCTGGCCGGCCGCCTGCAGCTGCTCCAGGCCCACTGACCGCACGCACCGGGCTTCTCCGGACCTTTTCCCCTCAACACCCTGGTCACTCACGGACGCTCCTCTTGTGGGTTCCGGGGTGGTCGTCGGAAACACATGCTGGGTTCCCGGTGCCGGTGAGCGGGACCCGTAGGGACACGGGGCCTTTATAGGTCGTATCAGCGAAGGATCTGAGAGGAGGGCGTCCCGGGTCAGGGTGGCCCTGCGTGCAGTGACAGTGTCCTGAGAAGGGACAGAGGAGGAGACGCAGGCCCAGAGGAGAAGCCACGTGGAGAAGGAGGCAGAAACGGGAGGGACGCGGCCACTGGAAGGGGGGGAAAGGACCCTCCCTGGAGCCTGTGCAGGGAACATGGACTTGAGACACCTGGACCTCAGATGCCTGGTCTCCAGGAGGGGGGATGATGAACGTCTGTGGTTTAAGCCCCCCGACCTGGGGTCCAAGCCCCCAGAACACTCACACCCTCCTTACCGTACCTGCTTAGAATGAGCCGTATGCATCGAGGACCCTGCGGGGGTCTTCTGAGTTTTCAGACGGGGTTCGATGACTGTGCATTGGGTGGCGGGAGCAGCTCTGGAGATGCTCGGGAGATAGCAGCGGCGGGGGAGGGGCCCCAGAGATCCCCTCAGTTGTCATCGGCCACCACGTTTCGATCAGGCTTCTCAGTGAGCGTCAGGGGATTGCCGGGAAGCCACACTGCGCGCTGCGGACAGGCAGCCAACCTCAGCGGCGTTCCCGGGTGGGAGACACATGCTGAAGCTCAGAACAAGGACAGTGTGGACGGTGGGTGCCCGAGCCGGACCCCAGTGACCCCAGGAGGGCCTCACGTGGTGGGTGGCCGAGCTGAAGTCCAGAGCAGGGCTGGGTGAGGGTGGGCTGGGGGGCGGCCACACCGTGTAGTGGGCATTGCAGTCGGCTTGCGGTCTTGTTGCCGTTCTTAACCTTTCAGCGGCAGATTAAATCCACAATGAAGGACAAAAAGAAAGAGAGGGAGGAAGGAAGGAGGGAGGGAGAGAAGGAAGGAGGGAAGTGAAGAATGGAGGAAAGAAGGAAATGGAATGGAAGGGTAGCGAGAAGGAGGGAAGGAAGGAAGTCGAAGGAAGGAAGGATGGAAGGAAGGAATGAAATGAATGGGTAGAAAGAAGGAGGGAAGGAAGGAAGGAAGGAAGGAAGGAAGGAAGGAAAGAAGGAAGGAAATGAATGGGTAGAAAGAAGGAAGGAAGGAAGGAAGGAAGGAAGGAAGGAAATGAATGGGTAGAAAGAAGGAGGGAAGGAAGGAAAGAAGGAAGGACCCACTGCTTTGATCTCACCTGACAGGTACTTTCCAAAACATGCAACAGTATTGGATGCGAAGTCCCCTGCTGCCCCCAAGGTCCTAAAACCAAATTCTCCCGACCACCGACCGACCACCTTCTCTCCGGCAGGTGTGCTTTAACAGGGAGGCGGGCTGTCACTGCAGAGCAAAATCGTTGCTATTTCAACGATGACCCGCAGTGTGCACCTGTGTTCACCTGCACACGCCCTGCCACCTTTGTGTGTTGGTGCGAAGAAAAGGAAGAACAAGTCCCAGGGTCTCCCCAGGGGCTGGGGTCTGTGGGGTGCAGCTGTCAGGGCCACAGCAGCCTCGCGAGGTCGCCGCTCACCCATGTCCCCAGCGATTTCCTGACCTCCTCCCCTCCACGGCCAGCCCCCGACAACCGCGGACCCCCTCTCGGTGCCTGGGGACGGGCCCGCTCTGGGTGTATCCCACACACGTGGAATCCACACCACGGGACCGTGGGCGTCTCTCACGGAGCCTCCCATGTTCAGGCTGCCTCCACGCCGCCGCCTGAGTCAGAGCCTCGCTCCTGCTCACGGCTGAGTCACAGCCCACCGTGCGCTCAGACCTCATTGTTCCTGCAGACAGACGACCGTCAGCCTTTCCCCCACGTGTCCTCGCCTGGGAGCGCCTGCCGGCCACCCAGGGACACGAGGCAGTAAGGAGCCCTCCCAGACGTTTGCCGATGCTCACGTCCCCGCCGTCTCGCCGAGAACAATTCCTTGACGACGTACCACAAAGTCGATTGTAAACAAACTTTTTTTTTTTTAAAAAAAGCCGAATGAAGTGGCTCCTTCTTATTTTTTTAGGAACCCCCGATGATATCATACCCACGACGTTAAATGTGTCATCGTGACTATTTTGGGGTGCACGGCTACCTCAGCCGCACGAAGCACATCCAGGCGTACGGTTGTGCAACCGTCCCCGACTGTCATTTCCAGAACGTTCCCCTCGCCCCAGACAGAAGCTCTGTCCCCGGCTGATTCTCACGCCCCTCCCCCTCCCCAGTCCCCGGCTCCCGCTGTCTGCGGTCAGTCTCCGTGAGTCTGTCTCTGGTAGGCGCCTCCGGGACGGGCCGTCTTGCAGCGTTTGTGTTTTAAGTTCCTTTTCTTTCAGACAGTATCACCGCTCCTTCAGCATTCCGGGGGGTTGACTCTCACGCTGGCCTCCGGGAAAGTGGGGGTGTCCCATAGGAAGGCAGCGTCGACGCACGGTAGAAACGAGGACCCCAAACAAAGATCTCTCTTTGCTGGTCTGTCTCTGCCTGTCTGTGTCTCCGTCTCTCTGTCTTTCTGTCTGTCTCTCTGCCCCGTTATCCCCGTCCAGATACAAACCCCTTTGGTCCCCAGGGCTAGCTGGTTGCTAGGTCTCTCCTCCAGTTTGACACATACACCTCTGCCTCTTCCAACCTCTTACCGTTTCCAAACGCGTCCACGGTGACCAGTAAGAGCGGCCCATGCTTCCAGAGAGGCAGACCTGGGGAGACAGGACTGGGGCGTGACAAGACTAAGGTGACATCTTTCACGGGAAGTGGGGCTGCCAGGATGCTCACCACAGCTCGCCCGATGGGTCAGGACACGGGGTAATTCCCGCAGAGATGGGGCACTTTCTGCCGCTGTTGGGGAGATGCAGCCAAACACGGCGCCTGCCCCCCACTGAGCAGCTTCTCCCACGAAGGGGGGAGAGACAGGAGAAGCCTTGCATCGCCGAATACGCGTAAAACCAGACGGCTCTGTGCCTCCCGGGCCGTGCACTGAAGAGGCTGCCGTTGTACCAGTCTAGATGTTCTCCCGTGTCCTGGAGATAGACAGTGATGGGTCCCCCTCGCCAGGGGCGTCCCCGCACCAGGGGTCCCAAGCAGCCCCTGCTAAACCCACCCAGAATGGCCATCGGTGGCTCCTAATCGTTTATGCAAGAGAAAAACAAGTCTCTATATTTAGGGGGGGATGCAGTTTCACAGCTTCCCTCACCCTCTCATAGAAAGTAGGAGACAGGGCTCCCCACACCCCTTCCTGTTTGCACGTCAGAGACTGGGTCCCCGAGAAAGATACTGCTAGGTCTTCCGCGTGGGGAAAAGCGTCCTCACTGTGGAAAGGACTTCCGTGTACTTCAACGAGGTGGAGGAAGGGACCACAGAGTCGGGGGGGGCCATAAGAAGGGGGACTTCAGTCCTGCTATTTATTGTTTCAAGGGCGGTTGGCATTTCGGTCTTGTGTCCGTCTCAGGGGGTCCAGCGTGGTGATTAGATACTTGTGCAGCTTTCAAAGTCATCTCCTTGGCGTGTGCGGCACCCAGCAGGCGCCCTGCACAGTTATCACAACGTTACCGAGTATATCCCCTGGGCTGGATTTTCCATCCCTTGGGCTATCCCGTAACGGCCCATTTGTACACAATCTCTTCACATTCTTAACTCGTCCCCCCCAAGTCCTCATCCCACGCGGCCCCTGTCTGTCTGTTCTCCGAATCTAGGACTTTGTTGGTGTGGCTGGTTCGTTTCCCGTGTCCTGTAGATGCCGCATATAGGAGAAACCCTGTGGTGTCCGCCTTTCTCTCTGTGTGTGACTTGCTCTCCTTCTGGGGATGCAGCTCCAGACACCGGAAACACTCATCCGTCAAAACACGTTCACCTGCACGCTGCCCTTTGTGGTGTTGCTGACGACCACCAAGCTGCCCACACAAAGCCAATGAGTCAAGGCTTTCTCTGTTTCCGTGGAGGCGCCGGAGCCCTCGGAAACCACTGGCTAACCTTGAACCTGCTTTAAGGTGCAACTAGGGGGAGAAACCACTCGTCGGTGGCCCCGGGGCATCATATTGTGGAGACGGTGCAAAGCCATTCACACGTTCCTGTCAGTCCCCGTCCGAGAATTCCTGCCGCACGCCCGTGGGGAGGGTCCCAACCCCACCCAAGCCCCGGCCTTGCCACTGTGGACAAATCCCATCGGTTGGGGCTGGGGACTGAGCCGACCGAGAACACAGACCTTTGTCCCTTTCCACGCTGCTGTGGCTTACCTTCTGACCCCGAGGGCTGAGTCACACCGTGTGGGCGCGGTGTGGAACCACAAGAACTCGCTTCCTTCTCAGCTGGAACCCCGGGGGCGTCTGGCGTTATCAAGGAGGAATTTTCCAGGCAGGCAGGGGACGGGGGTAGAGACGTCCTCCTTGGCGTAGGACAGACGCACAGCTTCCTCTTCGGGAGGTCGGGGATGCCCACCCTGGTCTCTGTCCATTTTGGGAAGCTGTGGATCGACCCGGAGAGGACCTGCTGGGTGGTCCCTCGGCGTGGCACTACAATTGCCCGCCCTGTGCACGTGGGCACGTGGCAGGGATGCCTCCAGAGCCCACAAATGTCCACCTCCCTCCTTGTACCGTTGACATTTTCCGACGCCGCATGAGACCCACAGTCCCATCGCGAGGTCTCCCACAAAGTTCAACTTCCCTTTCCTTCCCCATGCTGAACACTTTTCTACACGCTCAGCACAGGCCTGGACGTGGTGAGGGACCGCAGGAAACCGGCTGAAATATGAAAGGAACTCCGACAGGGCTCATCGGGGAGCAGAGACGTTGTAGTACGATTGGTAACACGCAGGGAGTCGAGACACGGACACTGGCAATAGCCCAGGGCCAGACCACAGGGAAATCCGGACGCCCGCCCCACCACCTGCAGCCGCCAGCCCGGGAAACCAGCCCCTTCAAGACAAGATTTTGTTTCTTTATTTTTAGACAGAGGGGAAGGGAGGGAGAAAGAGAGGGAGAGAAACATCCATGTGTGCTTGCCTCTCACACGCCCCCTACTGGGGGCCTGGACAGCAACCCAGGCGTGTATCCTGACTGGGAATCGAACTGGCAACCCTTTGGTTCTCAGGCTGGCGTTCAATCCACTGAGCCACACCAGCCAGGGTCTACCTTTCTATATGTATCTGTCTATCTATCTCTCTGTCTATCTGTATCTGTCTCTTTATCCATCCATTTACCATTCATGCTTCTATTCATCCATGCACTATATCCATTGAACCACCCATCCATCCATCATCCATCTGGCCATTGATTATCTGTCTGCTATCATCTATAGGTGTCTTTATCCATCCATCTTTCCATCCATGTATCATATTCATCCATGCATACATATATCAATTGTCCATTATCTATCCACCCATTGTCTCTATAAATCTTCTACATATCAATATTCTATCTATCTATCATTTATGTTTATATTTTCCCTTTTTTAAAAAAGATTTATTTATTTATTTTTAGAGAGGGAAGGGAGGGAGAAAGAGAGAGAGAAACATCCATGTGTGAAGTTGCTGGGGGTCGTGGCCTGCAACCCAGGCATGTGCCCTGACTGGGAATCGAACCTGCGATGCTTTGATTCGCAGCCCACGCTCAATCCACTGAGCTACACCAGCCAGGTTTATATTTTCCCTTGTAATCTAATACCACAGGGTAGATCGTAGCCTCTCATCTTTCAAAATTGGCAACTCCCTTCTCTGGCAGGTAACAACCCACCTCTCCTTGTCCACCACCTCCTCACACCTTTGCTCAATCCTAAAAATGCACCGTCCCACCGTGTTCAGACTCACTCATCAGAGCTTTACCGGCGTCAAACCCACTGAAGCCAAAGTCCCTTTGCAAACACTGACAGACCCCCATGTCCTTGAGCTTCTCTTCGAGTTGTCACCTGTGGTGTTCTGAGGGAAACAGTGACTTGGGTACACAGGGGACAGCATCCAGTGTCCCCCTTGGCTCCCACCAAGGACAGAGCCTTTGGACACACCGTTCGGACTTGCTGTCTGCTGTGGACAGTAACTGCTGGCCTGGAAAATGGGAGCGGACAGACAGACAGACAGCTCTGGTCCTGCTGCGGATGGTTGTCTCTCAGGGTCATTGACCTGACCAGCCTTTATACCCTCACACCCTCCAGCTCGTCACTCACATAAATTAGCGACCGGCTCGGGTGTGGAAAACCTTGGTCTCATCGCTCCTTTCCAAGCGCCGTGTGATCTGTATGACGGGGCTGAGGGCGTCCCTGGACAAGCCCAAACTGCTCCCCACGTCTCCTGAAGCTCTCCCCAATTTTTTTTTGTGCCCCCAGGGGAAGCATTGCCACTTCACATCATCAACTTCAACTTTGAAACCGTGCAGGTGACATGGAATGCCAGCGAACCCACGGGGACGAATTTCACTTTCCGCTACAGGTGAGTGCTCTCTGGGGGGGAAAAAAACTAATAATAACCAGCAGTGCCCTGTGCAAAAAGACCTCTTCTCTTGAGAGATCGGCCGCAGGGAGGGCCACCTGAGAAAGCTCTGAATAAGCAGAAGGTCTGAGTGCAAATATGTGTTTTCTCATTCCCTCCACCACCACGGTGCCGCAAACCCAACCAGGTGATGACTGAGTCACACTCGAAACTACCTAGATTCTCGCCCCAGGGTTCGCAGCACACTCTGTCCATTGGGGGGTCACCTTCAATGTCATAGCAGCCACATTTTCCGGGAGTTCCCCTGCCTGGAAAGGCTACCAGCTCTGCCGCCCTAGCGAAGAGCATCTCAGGGTCCCATTTCTGGGTATCAGGGTATCAGGGGCCACCTTTTAAAACCACCTGTTTCTATTAGCAGTTGATTGAGCCTTGCCCACCACACAGGAAGACCTCTGTGTACACATTACAGGAACGGTTTTCCCCCAGATGAGTTCAGCTCAGTTCCACAGACCTCGGTGTGGGCCGTGTGGTTGGTCCTCGCCACTTGATGGTCCGGGAGATTAGGGCGAAGGGGTGCAAAACAGGGAAATTTTTCAAGATGAATTGATTCGGAAAATGAAACTCACAGGATTAAAAAAAATGTAAAAAAGTGAAAGGCTGGCTTTTCCAGAGAGGTCACAGAGAGGGGTCACATGTGGTTTCCAAGCGTGAGTTTTTCGTTTTCTCACTCATGAAGGGGGTACGTTTCGGTCTAGACCCTGCTGGGGTTTGGGGTCTCTAGGTCGAAGCGTTAGGTGTCCTTGGGCTGAGGACTAGGCCACTTCTAACAGTGCAAGGAAGTTCAAGGTCACGCCCCGTCTTGGTGCAACCATTGGAAAGTGCCTTTCTTTTTTTTTTTTAATTAACTTTTTTCTGTTTTTTTTTCTTTTTTTTATTAATTATTTATTTATTTTTAGAGAGGCAAGGCAGGGAGATAGAGAAAGAGAGAGAAACATCCATGTGCAGTTGCTGGGCATTATGGCCTGCAACCCAGGCATGTACCCTGGCTGGGAATCGAACCTACGACCCTTTGATGCACAGCCCGCGCTCAATCCACTGAGCTACACCAGCCAGGGCTGGAAAGTGCCTTTCGTGCCAGAGGGCTCGATGCTCTGGAGGTCGGACTCTACTGGGGCAGACAGAAGGAACTCTCCCAAGGCGAGGTTCTTCAAATCACAGACGTTCACCCTCCCCCGTCCTGGAGACCAGGCGTCTGAGACCACCCAGGGGTCCCAGGGCTGTGCTCCCTCCACAGGCTCCAGGGTGGGGGGGCCTTCCCACCTCTTCCAGCTCCTGGGGGGGCTCCAGGCGTCCCCAGGCTGGTGGCTGTGTCCCTCCCGTCTCCGCCTCCATCTCCACGTGGCTTCTCCTCCGGGTCTGCGTCTCCTCTTCTGTCCCTTCTCAGGACACGGTCACTGGACGCAGGGCCGCCCCCACCCAGGACGCCCTCCTCTCAGATCCTCCCCTCACCCCACCTGCAAACACCCTGTCTCCACATGAGATTCTGCTCCCAGGTCCCTGGGGTCGGTACGTGAACGTACGTTTGGACTGTCGTCATCCAACTGCTCCACGGGCTTAAACACTTGGGCGAGGGAACGCTTTCTGATTGGCCGCTGTCCGGGAGGATCGTCGATGAGGATCCGGAAGGTCCCCCATCTGAGCCCACGGCCGGTAGACAGGCTAAGAGGCTTCTGTCAGAGACAACCTACAGCCTGGCGTTCTCTCTCTCTCTCTCTCTCTCTCTCTCTCTCTCTCTCTCTCTCTCGTCACCCCAGGTTCCACGGTGACAATTACAGCCAGTGTCCCAGCTACCTGCTTCAGCATGGCCTCCCCGTGGGGTGCGTCCTCAGGGCCAAAGGAGACTCGGTGATGGACTTCTCCATCGGGAACGGGACCCACACTGTCCTGTCCAGGAACATATGGATCAGTTCTTACTGTGAGTGCCCAGAGGGCAGAGGGCGGCTCCTACCCCGACACCCGAGACGCCAGCCTTCCGGAAAGTTCCATCCTCAACATGCACGAGAGTCTCAGATGCGTGCACCCCTGAGGGGAGACTCCGCGAAGGCCGTGACTGGAGACAGTGAGCCAATGACGTGGCTTTGGTGCTTTTCCCCCCCCAAAAAACGAGCTGAGACATACACCCCCAATGCACACCCCACACCCCATTCCTTTTCCTTCTCTCCTTGGAGGTGGGTTGTTTATCTTGGATGAGAGAATATGGCACACATGCAGAAACCCTCTATCCACACACATATGCTTTATTCTATACTTCTGTGAGATAGGTTTTTATTTTTATTTGTTAATTAGGGGTGGGTGTCCAGGGTGCCTCTCAGAGTTGGATGTGGCCTATGGGGCCCCTCGTGACAAAAGCACCCAGAGACACGGCATGAGCTTCCTAAGGCAGCTGTGGAACCCCCCCCAGACTGGGGGGTCTTCAAGGAGACACCTGTGGCCTCGTTGTTCAGGTGCTGGCCATGCAGTTTCCTCCCAGACGCTCTGGGTGAGAACTGGTCCCGTGCCCCAGGGGGAGCCTCACACGGTTCCGGAAATCCCTGGTGTTCTTTGGCTCGTAGCTGGGCCACCCCGATCTCGGCCTGTGTGTGGGCACACCCTGTCCAGGCACGGCTGAGCCTCCTCGTCCTCCCACAAGGACCCCGGCCATGTTGCTTTCCCGGCCACCCTCACGGCACGACAGCCCCGTCTTACGTTAAATAGCGACATCGATAAGGATCCTATTTCCAAACGATGCTGTCTTTGGAGGTCCTAGCGGTGGGGGCATCAACATATTTTGTGTTTTTTTTGTGGGGGGGGCCATGATTCATCCCATAACAGAAACACAAAATTTTCTGTGCAACTTCACGAAGCTGCATCAGGACACGGCTCCTGGTCAGCCCTTGGAGCGCAGGTTACGGGCTCTGTTACAAATGCCACCCAGGCAAGGGGCCCGCAGACCACCCAGGGGATTCAAGGCAGAAGACAGGGGGTGGAGGCAATCTCACCGCGGCCGTCGTACAAACGTGGGGGAGGTTCCACCGTCGCCATGGTGACGGCCCCTGTGCTGTCTCCCCCACCCCTGTAGTGAAGCCCAGCTCCCCGAGAGACCTCCAGTTCCACTGGCGGGAGGAGGCCATCACCGTGACGTGTCCCAATCTGCCGTACCGAGGCCTGCGGTACGAGGTTCAGCACAAGAGCGTCTTTGACGAAGAGTGGCAGGTGAGTGGGGTGGCACCTTCTCGGGGCCCCGGGGTGATGAGATATCCCTAAGGTGCTACCTCTAAAAAGAGAGAGAGAGACACAGAGAGAGAGAGAGAGAGAGAGAGAGAGAGAGAAACATCCATCGGTTGCTGCTTCCATCTGATCTGCCTCCTGACCAGGGATCGAACCCACAACCTTTTGGTGCCCGGGATGAGGCCCCAACCAACCACCTGAGGGCCACCCCGCCAGGGCTCTCTCGCTCTTGCACACACTGACCTCTGGCCCCGCAAACAACTGCATTATTTTGCCAACGGGACGCTTGAGCCCTGTCCTTGGTGTCTCCGCGAAGGGCATTCCCAAGGGCAAAGGTATCCACCTCACCCACGGGCATGTATTCCGTGTGGTGGGGGTGTGCAGTACCAGCGGGGTCGGCAGCTTTACAGTGGGCCCAAGCGGCGTGCAGAAAAAGGGGGTAGGAGTTTTGGTAACACTCGAGAGCGAGGTGATGGCTGGGTAGAGTGTGAGGGGGAGGCACCAACCCCCCCACCGTGGGAGACACCCTACCATGCAGATGCAGTGCAATCAAGCACAGCAGTGACAGTCCACATGACAGACAAGCGCCACCGAATGGTAGTGACATTGAACCGAGGCAGAAGGGAGCCCGTCAGAAAAGGGGAAACCTCGCCTTCTGTGGCTGGACGCGCGAGAGCAGAACCACTTCTCCTAAAAGGAAGGCAAGTTCAGTGCAAGTGACAGCCACGGTGGGCATGCCCGCGGTGACACAGGAGACATTCAACGACGTGCGGCAGCCGTGCACTTGGGGAGCGTAGCCACGGTCCCACTTCTGATCCCGTTTTAGAAATCGATCGTAAGGAAATAATTCAAACTGTCGTGGTGGTTTTATGCACCACATGTCTCTTGGGATGTTCTCTAAAATAAATATAAAAGATTTGGGGCATTATCTAAAATCAATATAAAACATCCACCTGTATGTCATGCAGTAGATGAACAGCCCGCAAACAATGGTCCCTGGCCGGGGTGCTCAGCCGGCTGAAGCGTCATCCTCTATACTAAAAGGATGCCGGGTCGACCCCCAGTCAGGGCACACACCTGGGTTGCAGGTTAGATGTCTGGTTGGGGCACATACAGGAGGCACCTGAGCAATTGATGTTTCTCTCCCATCGATGTTTCTCTGTCTCTCTCTCTCTGTCTGTCTCTCTAAAAGCAATAGACATATCCTTGGTTGAGGATTAAAAAGAAAACCAAATAATGATACATTTATATAGTAAAAAATTAAAGAGCCATGAATGGATGCTTTAAAGAATATTTGCTGCCCTGGCTGGTGTGGCTCAGTGGACGGAGCACCAGCCTGTGAACCAACTGGTCGCAGGTTCCATTCCCAGTCAGGGCGCAAGCCTGGGTGGCGGGCCAGGTCCCCAGTAGGGGGTGCAAGAGAGACAGCCACACACTGATGTTTCTCTTCCTCCCTTTCTCCCTCCCTTCCCCTCTCTAAACACAAATAAATAAACTCTTTTTAAACAGAACATTTACTGATCAGCAGCGATGTGAAGAACAATGGTAAAACATTGTATTCCGTCAGTTGCAGGAAAAGAATGACACACATTGGTTCACGGTGGTTACATGTTAGCACATTAAGTTTCTTCTGTTGCCGGGTGTACATGTATTTTCTAAAACCTCCAAAGTAGCACGGGCTCCCTTTCTATTCAGAAACCAACGTTTCCTTTTTTAAAAAGGATGCATCGCCTCCACGGAGCACCTCTCTGCACAGACACCTGAAGCAGCCTTTGCTGTACAGGATTGTGTGGTTGTTATTTTTTTCTTCCATCGGAGGGAAGCACAGATGTGTTGACAGACGTGGTCTCCTGCTGTTGGTTCGAGGGTTCAGATCTGGGCGGAAAGACACGCTCACCCAAGATGCTCAGGGGCCCGCCGGAGGGCAGCGGAGTCCCCTGCAGGTGATGTCGCCGATGCACCTGTCCCTTTCTCCTCCCTGCAGTCCACGGAGGAAGACACCTGCAACGTGACGATCCGAGCCTTGGATGCCGACAGGTGCTACAGCTTCCGGGCCCGAGTGACCACCAAGGAGTCCAGCTACGGCCCGGACACCTACCCCAGCGACTGGTCAGAGGTGGCCCACCGGCAGAGGGGCGAGCCGCGAGGTGAGGCTGGTGACGCAGCCACGCGGCCCCCTGGCCTGGCGGGCGGGGGTGGGGCGGGGCGCCAGGCACCTGGAAACCCCGAGGACCTCCCTCCTTGTCCAGAGACCGGTGTGAAGGCCACACCTCTGCTTGTCTGTCTCTCCAGCTGGACTTTTCGTCGGGGCCCATTTTTAGTGTTTGCTTCTAGTGACTTGGCAATGGTAAATAATAAGGGTTAGTTATGAACGCTGTTCTGTGGACATAGGTATGCATGCACAGGTGGATACATCTACAGGTAAATGGATGGGTAATGGAAATAGGTACGTAGATGATAGGTAGCTGAAAGAGTCATAGGTAGATGATACAGATAGATAGGTGATGCATGGATGGATGGATGGATGGATGGGTAGGTAGATGGTATATGATAATATATAAATTGATAATAGATGATTAATGGAAAGGTAGATAGATGGATTGGTGACAGGTAGGAAGATGATTGATGGATGAATACATAGATAAATAGTGGGTAGATGGATGGGTGGATAATGGATGGATGGAGGGATGGATGGATGGTGGATGGAAGGTGGATGGAGGATGGATGGATGGATGGATGGATGGGTGGATGGATGGATGGATGGATGGATGGATGGGTGGATGGATGGATGGATGGATGGTGGATGGACAGTGGATGGATGATGGATGGGTGGATGGATGGACGGATGGATGGGTGGATGGATGGATGGATGATAGATGATGGATGGACAGTGGATAGATGGGTGGGCAGATGGAAGGATGGGAGACTCACAGGTGTCACGCAGAAGTGAGCCTGCGCACCTGCAAACGGCCTGGCGAGGCCGGTGCAGCAGGGTGCTGTGATGACCCCGCACTCCGTGCCTGGTGTAAGTCTGTCCGGAGACTCCTTCTTTCCTTCCAGGACGCCGCCAAGCGAAACCAGCAGCTCCTGACCCTGACACGCTGACACGTGCACAGAAAACAAAGTGGACGTGGGCGCTGGAGCTCGGTCAGAGCCTCCTGCGATGAACTCACGGCGCCCACCCTGTTTCTGCTTTAGATGCGTGCCAGAAGACCCCGTTCTCCTCCAAGTTTGTTCTCGTCTGCGGCACGGTGGCCGCCCTGATCGTGGTCCTCCTGCCCCTGTCTGTGTGGAAGCTGCACAGGTAAGAACCGCTCTGGCCACTCGAGTCAGACTCGTGGGTGGAGGGTTCCTACCTGTGTGTAAACTTACCTGCGTGCAGGTGTTAGTTATGAGCACCTTCCAGGTGCTGATGCCCAGGGTGCGGGGCGCCATCTTGGTTTCTTAGGAGAAGGTTTCCATAGCAACGGGTGGGGGGCGTGATATGGACTGTCTGACCGTCCAGCTGTGGGCAGGACCGGCTCCTCCTGGGGCCTGTGTCCTTAGCGTGTGGACGGCCGTCTCCTTCCTACGTCTTCACGTGATCTTTCCTCCACGGACGCCCACATGCCCGGGATTCCTCTCTGGCCCCGAACCCCCCAGCCCCATTAAATCAGCGGCCAGTACATTGCCACCTCTCAGGTGCTGTACCCAAGAGTGTGCAAACTACACTGACCACAGGCAGATTCGTACGGGGAAGGCGTGTGTTTCTTTGTCACGGTGCTGCTTTCACATGCAAGAGGGCGTCACGGAGCAGAGCTACAAGCCCCCAAAGGCAAATTAGTCTGCGGGGGAGGGAGCCACACAGCATGTCAACACGGCGTGACCGGTGGGGCAGAGGGACACGAGTGTGGACACGGTACCAGGCTCCCTGCCCAGGGGCCGGGGGGGAGACACGCATGAAGCAAGCGTGTCGCAGACGGAGGCCGCCCGTGCAGAATTATCTCAGAATCACGGCCTGTGGGGCCGCTCCCTCCCCGTTTCCTGGAAAGGGAGCAGGCGGGCCCCCGACCGGAGGAAGCTTCTTTTGCAAAAGGGGAACTTGCTGCGTTGAGGTCAAGTTCCGGGGGGGGGGGGGGAGGGGGCAGGGCGGAGAGCCCCTCTGGAGGGGTGCCGTCACCTGAAAACACCCGAGGCGGAGTGCCTCCGGCCTGCCCTGTGTGACATCAGCGGGTCCTTCGTGACCCTGTAAAGGGCTTGACGCCCAAAGCAGCCCAAAGCAGCCCCAAGCATTGTGGGTCACGGCTTCCACCCTATGGATTTCAGGACGCGGGCAAAATCCAGCCAAAAACGTCCATGAGAAAGGAATACCAAGCAATCCTTAGGGTCCCAAGAGGTGCTCTGTGACCTTCACCGGACACCCCTGGGGGGCTTCCCCTGGGCGGCTAGGGCAGGGTGCCCGTGGCATCAGGGTGGCGGCAGAGGGTGGGGGGGGTCACAGTTCCCTCTGGGCGCCGAGTCCCCTGGGTGAGCGCAGTCTCCGTGTGCCTTGCAGAGTGAAGAGGCTGCTGGTCCCCCGCGTGCCCGACCCCAAGGTCACCTTCCCCGGCCTCTTCGAGTCGCACCAGGGAAACTTCCAGGTAAGCGTCGCCGTCACGCCGTGCGCGCGCAGCCCTGGAGGGCTGTGTCACGCGCGCGCGCCGCCCCGGAGCAGCTGGCTGAACAGCGGCGCACTTGCCGGCCCCCTCGTCCGGGGCCCGCGAGCCGCTGCGGCTCTCAAACGGGCGGCTCGGTGGGCTTCATCCTTCCACCGGGGAGGCCGAGCCCCCGAGGACCCCTAAACGTGGGTTCTCCAGAAATCGGCCCCCGAGAGCTGCGCCCTGCCTGACCGGCTCCGCTCACGCCAAGAAGCCCTGTCTCTTCCCCTGCACGCTGAACACGGGCCACCCACGCCTGCTTTCCAGCACTCACGGCCATGGTCACTGCCGAGGACACACCTTGGGGGGGCCGAGGGCCAGCTGGTGGAGACGTAGGGGGCAGGGGCCACTCCCACCCCAAGGAGCTCACCAGAGGCCCGAGGTCCGAGGGTGGGTTTTATAGCACGGTGTGATAAGGGTGTTCTCGGTTCCCCGGGGAGGCCACACGCCAGGGGGCTCGGAACAGCACAAATGCACCCTCCCCCGTCCTGGAGACCAGTTGTCTGAGGTCATCCAAGGGTCCCGGGACCCGGCTCCCTCCACAGGCTCCAGGGAGGGGCCTTCCCACCTCTCCCAGCTCCTGGGGCTCCAGGCGTCCCCGGGCTGGTGGCCGCGTCCCTCCCGTCTCTGCCTCCATCTCCACGAGGCTTCTCCTCCGGGTCTGCGTCTCCCCTTCTGTCCCTTCTCAGGACACGGTCATTGCACGCAGGGCCCCCCTGACCCGGGACGCCCTCCTCTCAGACTGTGCAGTAACCCCACCTACCGAGACCCTATTTCCAAACAAAATCACCTTCACAATTCGGAAGGTCAGGACTTGGGGGCACATACACCTGTTTTGAGAAGAGGTGTGCACCGTTCAGCTTCCTACAGGAAGGAGCAAAGGGGATCTCAAAGCTACCTCGCTGTGGAGGAGGAAGAAAAAAAAAAATAAAACCGGGGGAGAGAAATCCTTTGCTCTCCCGTCTTAGGTCCTGTGCGGGAGGGCGGTGCGCGAAACGGACGAAAGACAGATGAGAAAGACACAGGAGCCAGAGAAGAGGTTCATTTCAGAGGCACACGAGGCAGGGAGGGGGTCGCAGGAAAGAAGGGAAAACCCCAAAGAGGGGGTCCTTGTGCGGCTGATGCCCTTTCAGTGCAGGGTGGTGGAGCGCGGAGAAGAGATTGGACCAAGGAGAGGGGTCGGGGCCGGACCAAGGAGAGGGGGCGGGGCCGGACCAAGGAGAGGGGGCGGGGCCGGACCAAGGAGAGGGACGGGGCCGGACCAAGGAGAGGGACGGGACCAACCAAAGGGGAGGGGCGGGGCCAAACCAAGGAGCAGGGCGGGGCCAGACCAAGGAGAGGGGGCGGGGCCGGACCAAGGAGAGGGACGGGGCCAACCAAAGGGGAGGGGCGGGGCCAGACCAAGGAGAGGGGCGGGGCCAACCAAAGGGGAGGGAGGGGCCAGACCAAGGAGAGGGGGCAGGGCTAGTCCAAGGAGAGGGGGCGGGGCTTGTGCGCGGCCGGCGCGGGAGGCAGATGCGAGCTCAGTAAGTTTCGTTACAGCAGCAAGGCCTGTGTGGGTTCGGCTGAACTCGGAAGGGACAGGGGGAGACCCTTTCCAAGCGCAAGTCCCGTTGACAAACGGGGAAATCCACGCGTTGCTTTGACGCCCCAACGGGGTGGGAGGAGCCCCTGCTGTGGGTGCTGTTGGCTGAGGTTGCTTTCGGCTCACGATAATCTCCCTGCCCCCGTGGGGGCGGCGTGGCCCTCTCTCCTCGTGTTTGCATCTCTGTGCTAAAGCCGCTGGTTCTGGACCTAGGCTGGCCTCGCGCAGCTGCAGCCGCGACAGCTCCTGTGCTGTGTGGGGGTGGCGTCCCCACGGAAGGGGCCCCCGGAGCTGCTGTGGGCACCGGTGGGGGCGCTGGGCCCGAGGCCCTTGGCTCCCCCACCTGCACCCCCAGGGGAGCTCGCTGGCCCGGGGTTCCCTGCGTGTGACTCCCCATGCCGTGTCCCCTGTGCAGGAATGGATCAAGGACACCCAGAACATCGCCGTCTTGAATAAGACAGGGGAAGACAGGGAGCAGGAGTCTCTCCTGGAGGGGCCGCTGGTGGTCCAGCTGCCCGCGGCCAAGGCTGAGACGCCCGTGGCCTCGACGACAGGCCCGTCGCACCTGCAGGCGGTGCGGAAAGAAGCCACGGGGGACCCCGACCCGCTGCCCTGCCCGCCAGCCCCGGGCAAGGACCTGGTCTCTCTGGGGGGCTTCACGTTCGTGGTCAATGACAACGCGTATGTGACGTTGTGACGTCGTGACATCGTGACGCGGCTGCAGACGCAAAGCCGGTGGCAGGGGCGCGTGGACACAGGAACACCGAGGGGGTCTCTCCCCCGTGAAGGGGACAGACGCCCCGGACCACTGACTTCGCTGTCCCAGGGCTGAAGGCGGATGCACCGCAGGTGCCGGAGGACGGGTTGGGTCTGGACTGTGGTTTCGGCTCCCATGTCTTCCGGGCTGACCCCCTACCCCCACCCCGATCCTCACCTGACGGCATGTTCCATGGATTTTAGAGGGAGAGAGCGGAATGGGGGTAAACAGAGACAGAGAGACAGAGACATCGATTGGTTGCCTTCTGTACGCACCCTGACCGGGGATCGAACTGGCAACTTTTCCATGTACAGGAGGACGCTCCCATCTGCTAAGCCACCTGGACAGGGTACGGTCGAGGCCCAGGCAGTCCTGACACCCCCTTCCTTCCCAGACACCCTCCACGCCCCCCCCCTTTTCTGCACTAACACTTGGGAGCAATTTCCTGGGTCTCCGGTTCCCTGGAACCTGGACCCAGCCAAGCCACCAGAAGCCATGGGCATGGAAGGCACCCTGGTTCATCCCTGGCAGCCAGCCACTGCGGCTCTTGCTCTGCAAGGGAAGCGCCCCCCCTGGGCAAGAGCTGGGGCATGTCCTTCTGGAGACTTTGCTCCCCCTGCAGACTCCACGCGGGTGACGTGGGGGGAGACGGCAGAGTCGCCAGCAGCATCCCCACCCCCACCCCCAGATTGAGTGGGCCTCGCAGGTTTTGAGCGTGCCCCTGACATCAAGGGACACAAGAACAGGGTTGTCATGAGAACTATCGCAGGACGCACGGCGGTGCTCGATGGAACGAGATAGAGGAGAGCGTTCGCGCTGTTATCTCGTCCCGGGCTTTGTGACGAAGGCACAGGAAGTTTCTAGATCTTTCAGATTTGGGTTTGCTCAGCGGGCGGCGCGGCGCTTCCTCCTCTCCGTGCGCACAAGGCTGCAATAAACCTCGGTCGCACCCTGGGACTCTGTGTGTGTTCTTGGGGAAATACAACGAGGAAGAAAAAAAAATAATAAAGCGTCTTTTCACTACACGCCCCCCAAAGCCTGTCTTGCGAAGGACACCCGGGAGAACACCGTTTCCTAGTGCGAAAGCTGAGGCGCATCCCCGGCCACCCACTGAGCAGCTCACCCCTTTTTTAAGGCTGAGCAAAACCCCTTCTACGGCCGTTCTCCAGAGAAAAAAAGCCCCTCATTTTCTCCTGTCTTTCGCACGGAGCATGTGCGATTCGGAGGCAGCGTGCGCAGGCTGGAGTCACGCCCTCCTGGTGCGGGGAGGAGACGGGCGCTCCTTCCGCAGACTTCCAAGTGCAGGACGCGCTCCAAGTCTGCGTCGGTGTGTGGTCCGCGGGTCTGAAGGTGGGAACTGAGACCCCCACCGAGGGGACTGAGCGTGCGCCGCCCCTTCCCGGCTGCCCTGGCTGGACGCAAACCTTGTTTCTAGGTGAGCACCGCGCGCGTGCGCCAACGCGCCCATGACGCAGCGTGCGCAGCGCCCCTCCGTGCGTTCTTTACGAATGGCGTTGTTCTGTTCAGTCTTAGGTTTTCTTTTTTAATTTTTTTTTTTCAGTTCCCATGGATAGCCAACATTATTTTCTGTCCGTTTCCCGGATACAGTATACTTCTGATGAGACATTCAGGTCACCTACACAGGGATGCCCCCGATAGCTCCAGCACCCACGTGGCTACCCACGCAGAGTTATTCCAATATTACTATTATTCCCTGTGCTGGACTTTCCACCCTGAGGCCGGTCTGTAACGACGACTTTATACTTCTCAGTCCTTCGCCTGTTTCGCCCTCACCGCCCCTCCCGGCCCCTCCCCTCTGGAAACTTTCTCCGAGCCTCTTCCTGTTTCGTTTTGGTCTTGGTTCTTTTAAGTGACGCAGCACCATCGAGCAAGCTTAGTAATGAAACGCTTCGGGGGACCTTGACCTGACAGGCCCGGGATGCGCTGGCTGCCTGCTCTCCTGCAGTCCCGACCCCAGTCTAGGGGAGCCCTGGACGCCCGAGCCCGCCGCCGCTGGGCCTGATGCGCACGCAATTGCGCCCCCGTGTGAGGTCCGCTGCTGCGAGGCTTAGGGTGGAGCTAAGGCCTGTTTTTGGTTGTGAGGATAAATGCTTAACTTAAGGCCTCAATGGCTTCTGGAGACGGGTGACCCTCACTCTGTCCTGCTACCGTGGCTGAGGTTTGTCCCTGAGTTGTTTTTTTTTTCCCCTGCCATGGCTGCGGGGGGCACACTGGTGACCTCAGAAAGGGTCCTCAGATGTGTCCGCATCTGAGCCCCACAACCTGCAAATTACCTTCCATGGCCAAGGGCGTGAAGCTAAGGGTCTCACAGGAGGGTGTCCTGGGTCAGGGTGGCCCTGCGTCCAGTGACAGTGTCCTGAGAAGGGACAGAAGAGGAGACGCAGACCCGGAGGAGAAGCCACGTGGAGACAGAGGCGGAGACGGGAGGGACACAGTCACCAGCCCCAGGAGCTGGAAGAGGCAGGAAGGACCCTCCCTGGAGCCTGTGGAGGGAGCGGGGCCCTGGGGCATCCTGACCTCAGACGCCTGGTCTCCAGGATGGAGACAGCATGAATCTTGACTGTTTTAAGCTCCCAGTTTGGGGTCATGTGTCCCAGTAGCCCCCCAAACCCTCACATTCCAGTGACACCCCTCTTCCACCCCCAACCCTGCACTGGTCCTCTGGGGTCCTTCCTTTCTCCCCCAACAACGAACAGCTCACCACCCTCCTCAGGGAAGGCACTCGTCACCGTAACCCCGGAGTCCCCACAGAGTGACTCCCGCACTGAGAAAGTCCAGAACTGAGCCACACCCACATGCACCCACAAACCCCTCAAGACACATGGGTGCTCCCTTTCACGAAAAGTCCCCACGTGCCCGGGAAGCACAAAGCATCGAACCCCATCACCCAGGAGACAGTGGGGTGGGGGGCCGGCAGGGAGGGTGATGCCCTCTGTGGACGCTTAGCTCCCACAGGACAACCCCTTCGGTTTTTTCGTAGGGAAGGAAAAAAGAAAAAAAGGAAAGAAAAGGAGAAGAAACATTGGCCAGGCCCTGCCGCGGTGCCTCTGGTTATTCTGGAAAAAGACGTCGTAAAAGTGTCTGCGTGTTTGTCAATGGGCCTGCTCACACTGTGTCCCCCATTTTTTTTTTCCAATGAAGAACAATCCCCTCTGTTGCACACTTCAAGACCACACACACACACACACACACACACACACACACACAAGGAGCCTTTCCACGCCTGCCAACACACACCGCTCACGGGCGGCGTGCGGGGCTTCCCGGGTCGAGAGACAACCGGTCTGCAGTCAGAACTGGTCTCGGCATGCTCTTGTCACACGCAGAATCGAGTGCAGCACACGCACCGTCTCTGCAGCCTAAACCCCCGGCCCCTCCCCTCCCCCCCATCTCATGCCTGTATTCTCCCGGATACTTGAATTTTATGAACGAGGGAGCCAGCGACTTCCTCTCCCGCTGTTTACCCAGCCTGCACTTCTTGTGCGCCTCGCTTTCCTTCTCCGTGGCTGGTGCGGTTAAAAAAAACCAAAAACCAAAAAACAACAACAAAAAACTCTGTACAAGGGGGGATTTTCAGCGCTCCTGAGCCAACCACCCAGATTTCGCGTCTGGGTGGTCTGCCCACCCCTGCCCCCCCCCGCCCCGCCCCCGCACAGGCTGGAAATACGAGATGGCGGCAGGAGGGAAGCGAGTTTTAATTTCTGCACCACGTGCGTGCACGCCGTGGCATCTGCAACCCGGCTGCAGAGGAAGGGGGTCGTAAATTGGGCCAGCTTCTCACACAACCAGGGCCAATGGCTATCTGGGGCTCCCCCCCACCGCCCCACCCCCCCGGCCTCGTAGGAGTCCGGGCGGCCCTAGGAGGTCTGGATTCCTTCAGGCGTAAAACAGAAACGGCGTTGAGTTTGCACCTTCGTGGACGGCTGTCCCCCATCCGATGGGGAGCAGAATCGGTTTTTACGAACTCATTTCCCTTCTGCAGGGGTTTTTCCATATCTGAATTCCCCAAAGCCGGGGAGAATTTTCTACCCAGATTTTTTTTTAAAGAATTGTATTTATTTGTTTTTACACAGAAGGGAAGGGAAGGAGAAAGGGGGGAGAGAAACAGCAATGTGTGGTTGCCTCTCGAGCACCCCCTACTGGGGACCTGGCTCGCAACCCAGGCAGGTGCCCTGACTGGGAATCGAACTGGCGACCCTTTGGTTCATAGGCCGGAGCCCAATCCACTGAGCCACGCCAGCCAGAGCTCTACCTGAATTTTTCATGTTCTTTGCTACACAGATCCAACTTCTGCCATCTTGTTCAGACAATCTTCCTCTACGCCAAGCCCATAAATATTTTCCCCTTCTTTTGTCGCGCAGAAATTATAAATAATTATGTGTTTAGGAGGCAGTGTTTACTCCATCCGGACATTTTCCTGTGCCAACAGTGGGTTGGGCCTTGTATCGCTTCGCTACGTTGCGTAACAAATGATCCCTAATCTACAGATGCCAAGGAGACATATTCTGGGTGTTCCACTGCAGGTGTGCACAGGTAAGGAACCCCACGGCTGAGCCACCTGCTCAGCTCAGGGTCTGCTTACCTGTGGCTGCAGTCGGGTTTCCGAGGGCCTGCGTTGCTCTCCGGAAGGCGACAGGTAGGAATCCCCATCCACGGGCATATGTACGGTGTCGGCAGAATGGAGACTCTCGTCATGCCTCGAATCTCTCTGTCCCCCTCTTGTGCTTCTAGGGGGCTGGCAGAAACACACTGAGGCCGTCTCATCTGAAAGGCAGTTGACCGGAAGGAGCCTTCATTGTTCCCGCAAAAAGTTCTGCTTTTGTGAAACGGGGCGGCGTATATCCGTGCCTGTCTGAGCAGGACAAGGAGGCCCCAAGGGGCGACCTCAGGGCTGTCCCCGAGGGTCCATTCCACGGACGTTTCTTTTGTGGGTCGCCGACTGGCCATCGGTATCGGGTCTCTCTCTGCCGTGGGCGGGGCCTTGCCATCTGGGCCCTGGACACAGTGTGTTCGTCAGCACCCGGACGGGGGTCTACGTTTGCCCATCGTTAAAATCTCTTCAGTGTTACGGAGTGGCATTTGCTGAGATAAAGCCCCTGTTTTAGTTTCTTCCTGAAACACCTGTTGGGTGTCTGGACAGGTGTGTGAGTTGGTTGGAGCATCGTCCGGTGCACCACACGGTTGTGGGTTTGATGCCCGGCCGGGGCGCAGGCACGAGGCAACTGAGCGATGTCTGTCTGTGTCTCTCTCTGCCTTCCCTTGTCTGTCTGTCTGTCTGTCCCTTCCTGTCTCTATGAAAGCAATGAAAAAACATCCTAGGAACTGTCTGGGCAGCACCCTGGAATCTCGTGTCCGGGGAACCACACCTCTGCCGGAGTCTCTGCCCCCACGTCAGGCTTGGGGGGATCCACAGTGAGCTCTGGCCTTCAGGGGAGGAAGAAAGTGTCCTCCGCCCTCTGAGGTCCTGTGCAAAAGGCCTGTGCACTCAGTAAACCAAACACCAACTCACAACAGCAGAAAGAACCGCAGGGACGGAAGCAAAGGCCTGAGACCCCGAAGGGGCCTTTTTCGAGATACTGATGTGACCGTGCTTAGTAAGAAGCAAGACTCCGAGATAACCTTCGACCCCCTCTGTGCCTGCCCCAGAGACTCCCACAGAGGCAGGCACCTGCTTCAGCATGAGGGGCCTCCAGATAAAACTTTCTCCACGCACACGGGGTAAAACTTTGATGTTCTCCTGGTTACGTGTCTGCTCATTTGATTTATTAGCTCAGCTCACAAGGACTTAGAAGACAGGTCCTGGCCGGGTAGCTCAGTGGGTTAGAGCGTCGTCTCCATGTGCCAAGGTTGTGGGTTCGATCCCCGGTCAGGGCACATCCACGAGACAGC